GTCTTTTTCAAGGACAATGTGTACCTAGAATAAACCGTAAACTCACTGCTTCCCAAAAGGAATTATTCCAAAGAACATGCTTTGTACAACTTCAACTCTAACTTACCCACAAGATTCTACTAATGGAAGTGAAGTAGTCTACACATGACGAGATGTAGTTTAAAGTTTGCGATTGTTGTTGGAGAATTACAACGATAATTGTGCATATTATATTTACAATAAACATATCGTTTATTTGCATGAAATTGAAATGTATTCCAACTTACTGAAATTGGATTTAATAAGGCAAAATGAGAATTTACCGATTCTTGAACGGTCGGACCTTGCAATATAAATATATAAATTAGATTAATCAATTTCTTAAATCAAATCATAATAAAAGGAAATCAAAAAATGAAGAAGGAAGATGCAAATGACGGATTTTGGGTCAAGGCAAGTGTTGGACACTTGCTAACGATTCTCCGGCAATCATCTCCCAAGATACAACGACCACGTCGAGCCATAGGAGCACTCCAAATGACTTCGACCAGCGAACTCGAACGGAATTCCCTCTCTATCATGACCATGACCGTGACTTTGATGCAAATGTTTTATGCAAAACCAAAGTGTAAATTGGAATGAAATGATATGATATCTATGACTTTTCTTGAATGAATAAAATTCAAACACATGGAATCTATATATATAGTAGTTGGGAAGGTATGTCAAAAGACAAAACTATACCAAGAGACACATATCTTGGAATTCATAATTATTGGACATTAATCATACCTATACCAAGAGTCATGATCTTTCATACAAAAAGCTACATTTTTTCCTCCATATATTTCTAGAATATTCCACAATATTATATACGATTTTTCCAATAATTTCCAGTATTTAAGCGGTTTACATTTGGCTTAATTTCTCATTCACCAAATAACGAATTCCATTTAAATAATCATTTAAAATTGGTCACAACCAATTTTCGATAAAAAAATTCCAACAATTGCAACATTCACTTTGACACTTTAGGACATACTCACGATTGACAGATTTGTCTCACGATTGACAGATTTGTACGTACTGAACTTGAAATTATTTTGTATGGCAAATAATGCAATACTCCTCTTCAACAAGTTTTTACCCTTGAAAATCTTATTCACGACAATACATTAATCAACAGTCCCCAATAATACACCATAGTTTTCATCATCTCTACATTCTTCTGTCACTAGATGTTATGTCTCAATGCTCGAAGCAAACTCCTCTATTGTTGGATTTGTGAAAGATGAATGCAACAGAAAGTTAGATGGTCGTCTATTTGTCAAAGCAGGAGCCAATTTTGGGTATGAGGTGTCCAAACGGAGGTCAAATTCAACAGCATTAATGTTCAACAATTCCTCAATTTCAACCCGCAGTGCATAAGCCGCTAAATGGGAATTCTTCCTCTTCAGCTCCATGTAGAAAAGTAGAAAAGAAGTGAGGTGTTATTTGTAATAGCAATTGGGGACATGTCACAGTCCACTTCGTATTCTATTTTCAAGCCAACATTTCTACTATCAATCTTCATCTCAATGGATAACACATCAACTAGTTCCACATACTTGCAACCAATAGGTAAAAGTAGCTCGAAAATCTTAGATTTACAGGTAACGAACACGTTTATGGAGCTCATTTATGTGACCCAAAAAAAAAAAAAAAAAAAAAAAACTCCATGTTAGCTAATGTATCGAAGAGTATTTTTTGACATCACCATATTGTTACAGTCATGCTATCTTCATACAACAGTGAATGAATGTAAGTTTTGTTTATAGTGAATAATTTATGGTTTTGTATCACCATCATCTACACATTACACCAGATACAAATTTTTATATACACAGTGGGTGAGTTTCGTCCCTTATGATATTACAAAAAAAAGAGTGAGATTACATTTCCAATTTCTTAAGAGAAATAAGGAATTAAACGAATATATAATTAATTAATTTAAAATTCATATGCTTCTATAATTGGGTATATGTGAAATTATAGATACTAATGCAAACAAATCATTAAAATTACAGTAAGTCTATCTCGTTTTCCCACCTTGTGCCATGACATTCCCATGTCATGCCAAGTTTCAAGTCATGACCTTGCGATCCGTGACATACTGGACAAGAATCAAGACCTTTTAACAGATCCAAAATTTTTGGGAACAGAAGCAGAGATTCATTCTAATTTCCCAAATATGCAATATTCATATCGATGATTATTACATGGTAAAACAATTACTTGTAATTATTTTGAAGAATTTTTTTTCTAAAAGATGTTTCAATCAATTCACCTATCTAGGTAACAATGAACCAGTGAAGAGTAATCTATTCTCACATTTGAGTATTGTTGTAGCAAGCAATGTAATTTTGAATTTGAAATATCCATAATTTCAGCCATATGAATTGAAGCCACCCGATTTGAACGCCTTTGATTTCTTTAGTTACACATTAGAAAAAGGAAAGAGAATTGTAGTACTCTTGAAATTGAAAAGGAATTTTGTAGTATTTTTGGTTATTAATTGGGTTTAATAGCTTAAAATGAATTAGTAGATTTTTGTTAGGTGTAGCACAAATATTAAGAATAATGTGGATGATAAGAGGTTGGTTCCCCTTGTTCTTCTTTCCCCTAAATTTTCTTTTTAATGTTGCATGTGTTTTTTAATGCTTAATTGATGCGCTCTCCGTAGCTTGACAAAAAATATCTCTTCTACTTAGGGTTGGATAAAATTCTCGAATCGAATCAACCGAATCAAAATTGAATCGAATCGAGTGGTTCTCCTCACGTTAAATACCCGAATGGATATCTGAATCGAAAATCGACAAGTTCAGTTCAATTATCGATTCTAAATCAAGAATCGAATAAGAATTGAATCTTCATAAATTTTCTAAATAAATTTGCTAACTAATTCATTTAGCTTAAACCCAAAAATATGAGTTTCCTATTTCTAATTTTAAATCCAAGCTAACTTAATCAAATTGACCTAAATTTTACCCAAATCTATTATTCTTACGTAGTGTCGTTTCTACAGTTTTGGAGAAATCGAATTGAAATTCGACAACGCTTTTCTTAATTATTGTGAGCTCGTCATCTTTATCTTTTTATGAGTTTAACAAACAAATTTATGAAGAACTCAGCAAAAGAGAAACATAAAAGACACATAAGATTGGATTACGTTATTTTGTAAGAGTTAAAATTGAATATGTTATTAATTAATTAATATAACTTTGTAAATATTAAAAAATTTAATTATAGTACGGAACTTAAGAATCAAACCGAAACGAATGGAACCAAACTCGAACGGTTCCATAATTAAATTTGGACCGGACAATTCCATTTACTAAATACCTGAAAATTTTGGGTCCGATTCAATTCTCATTAAAACTGAACTGGACCGAACCACGTCTAGCCCTAATTCTATTAATATCGAAAGTCATATTACTTTATAGTTAGGTTTATATACCATGTTCATTCTAGCAAGTGGGGATTGCTCAAGGCATATTGAAATTTAATCAACTTTATGAATTTGCCAATTTTTGACCCATAAATCATAATATGGCAGAAATAACAAAAGAAGAATAATCAATTGGTAGAACGATGAAATTAATGTCAAGAATTTTTACTATCCAGAATACCTAAATTTTCTTTATCCCAATGTCTAATTGAGAATATATAGTATCAAATATGCTCATGTTTCAGTACTTAGTTATCAAGAAATGTTTACTATGGAGACCGAAAGCCATTCGATCAATGTCCAACTTTGCGGACATAAGCATCGTCAAAACACACTAAACCAATAAAAACTTTAATGGTAGCTGTGATTAATAATGCGTCATCAATAATTGAGACTGCAGTCTTTGTTCAGTTCAGCAAACAAGAATTTGTCTCTCGTTTTCTTGAATTGAAGGGCAACTAAGATCAAAAGTATGATCCAATCTCAATTTTGCATCCTCAATGACTGCTAGAACCTATTGTAGAAGTTGAAAAACAGGAAGACAACACTTCTAGTGTTTCTCCTGGCAGAAACGAGGCGTGCCCTATAAACAATGCGATTGGTGCTCCATCAAGCTGCCATTTTCCAACTGATGAATTCATAGATTTTTTATTTCCAGTTCAAGCTCAGTTGAGCAAATGGAGTAGATATATATTGTTTGGCACGAAATCGAAATTTTTGTACAGTACACAAATTCGTTGTTGAAATTATACTTGGCTAGCAAAAAGGATCCCTGGATTGGTTCTTTAATCCAATGGGGATTTGTTGTAAATGTACTGGGAGTAGAAAGATATCTTTTTGTTTCTCCCTGAAAATTTTGCCAATTATGAAAATTAGCAAGTTATTTTTTAAATAAAATGTCGCACAGGATCTCTACAATCTGTCTTATCTTTTACCTTCATATCTCAGATTCATTTCACAGTTTTCTATTGAATTTTTCACTTCTTCCTGCAACGATTAGATGAATTAAGGTGTAAACTGAGTCAGACTAGCATGATTTGGATCATACATTTTGACCCATGAAAGTTTGAGAAATGCTACTTGTACAGGATTTGTACAGGCAGCACAACACCTACAGATGCACACCACACGTGCACCTGTAAGGCTATCTATACAGATCCCTTGTACAAATAGCAAAATTTTGAAAGTTCGGGATGGTTTTCAATAAGAGAATTACTGAAATCATTGAGTGTCACAGCAATAAAGAATCAACTACAATGTCACTGGAAAGTATAAAATCAAAGCAACCTAAGAAAATCTAGCAACTAAGGAAACCTAAATGACAATAATGCCTTTTACATGAGAATTAAGGTGTAAACTGAGTCAGACTAGCATGATTTGGATCATACATTTTGACCCATGAAAGTTTGAGAAATGCTACTTGTACAGGATTTGTACAGGCAGCACAACACCTACAGATGCACACCACACGTGCACCTGTAAGGCTATCTATACAGATCCCTTGTACAAGTAGCAAAATTTTGAAAGTTCGGGATGGTTTTCAATAAGAGAATTACTGAAATCATTCAGTGTCACAGCAATAAAGAATCAACTACAATGTCACTGGAAAGTATAAAATCAAAGCAACCTAAGAAAATCTAGCAACTAAGGAAACCTAAATGACAATAATGCCTTTTACATGAACAAATAGAGAACAACAAACAGGCCTGTCACAACAGTCACGAAATAAGACAAAGCAAAGAGCTTGGTGGTAGAATTAATCCCCAGCGGTTCCCAGTTGTCAGAATCCCAACCACCACCAGCTCCTCCCGGGGATGGAGCTGGCCCAGGGGACTCCACTTCAGAGGGATGCATCACTCGAATAATAATCTTTTGACCAACTTCGCAGTGATCAGAGCTCCCGCTGATGAAATAGAAGAACCCCGAACGATCAAATTCGAAAACCGTGTTTCCATCTTCAAATTTGGAAATAGGGTTTGATGTGTTGCAGTTCAAGTAATCAGCAGAGTCCACCTCCAGAACTGAGTCATTTCTGTACTTGAAATCTGAAGGAAACAGAAAATCAACAAACTAAATGCAAAAACTACTAAATATTCATAGAAAAATCACTTACAAACTGTATCTCCAATATGGAATCTGTTTTTAGCAGCCCATTGATTGTATGTCTGAGGATCCTTTCCAGTTGGTTTAGTCCACCCTTTCTCATCTCCAACTTTGAACCGGTACGAATTCACCAAGACAGCAGCAAAAAGGATTGACATCAAAACAGTTTTGAAGGTGATTGAAGCAGAAGCCATTAGAGATATTAGCAGAAGTATTGTGAAGATTTGTGTCTTGAACGTTAAGACTATAAAAACTGGTGTTTTGAGTTCTTATAATAGGGAAAAAGAAAGCCATGGCAGGCAGTTATTTTTGAGGTATATGGAGAGGGAAGCGTGGGAAGTGGGATGTATCAGTTAAGCTTACGTGACTTGTTCCATTTTTCAAATGCTAGAAACAGTCAAACTATGGGTTTAAAAGCGAAAATTCCCTCTAAGTGAGGACTCCAATTTATTTTTATTTTAATTAAACTCTTAACTAAGGATTGGGCTCATTTTGAGACGACCACAGGTCGAGCCAAACACCTACACGAGCCACTGGCTCATGGAGGTTCGGTTCGATTCTGCTTTTTGGCTCGTGACCTCATTCCACGCTCGTGTCGAAAGGTCAAGCCATCTTGACTCGGTCTACTGCAACCTTTAATATAGTGCATTAACTAGAGATATCACCTTCAATATAAGAACTTCTAAAAACTCATTCAATATGAAGTCGAAGCATTCGACATCACACGACATACTTCATGCAAAAATTTGTCGTCTTAGTTTTTTCCATGTGACAAGTGTAAATTAAGTCTTTCCTCACATGAAAATTATAACACGAAAAAGTCTTTAACGAAAACAAGTAAACTTGACTTGTCAAAATCTCATGAGTGATTGTGTGTTCAAAACTTGTAAGCTTGTGCAAAAGATTCTCATAATTCTTTCTATTTTACATGCAAAAATGTTTTCTTGACCTCTTAAAGGAATTCCATTTACGAATGCGTAGACAAAGCACGAGGTCACTGAGAAAATTTGAGGTTAAAAGTCATTATCACGATATATTTAGCTAAACAGGATCTATTGGCACTCAAAGGTTACATTATCATAACACATACATATAGAAATTGACAGTGAAGGCTTTTTACCTAATTTTGTAGATTTTCTAAATATGAAGAAAATGTTAGGGCCAGTATGGTTTGTGTTTCAATTTTCAGTTTTGAATTTTGAGCTCATTTTCAATTTTCTGTTTTGAGGGTCCTTTTTAAGATTTTTAAAAACTCGTTTAGTTTGTCATTTAAAAAAAAAAAATTATTTTTCAAAATAAAAAACTAGAAAACACGTTTGTTTAAATTTTGAGAAATTATTTTATGGCATTTTAATCAAAGAAATTTGATTATTGAGTAAAAATCAAAACAATTTTATGTTAATATATTGCCATGTAATATCACATTTAAAGTTGGAAGATCTTACAATATTATTTCTCACTACAAAAGCAAAATAAAAAAAAATAAAAAAAATTGAGTTTAAAATATATGAAATAAAAATAGAAATTAATGATGTGGAGTGATAATATTTTTATTCACGTTCACTTAAAATATTTTTTCTATAATTTTTATTTAAATATTCACTAAGAGATTGAACTATTTTTATTTATTATTTATATATTTTATTTTTTAGATTTTTTTTAAATTTTTTGAATTTTCTTTTTAAAAATTTTTAAATTTTATTTGTTAGAAATTTATATTTATATTTTTAAACTTTTTTAATTTTTATAAGTTCGTTTAAACAAAATTTTATTTAAACGTTTCTTTTCTATGTTTTGAGTGTTTTCTTAAATTTTCAAAGAAAACACTCAAAATGTCAAAAATGTATTTTTAATTTTATCTTATAAATTCATCCTTGTTATCGAAATGAATTTTTAAAACATCAAATCAAACACGTTTTTAGTATTTTACAAATTTGAAAATTGAAAATAGTTTAAAAATAACAAACTAAACGCACCTTTAATTATTAACCTATTTTATGTCAACTCTGCATTGAATGTAAACATGCGGGATCACATAATACCTACTATCGAGTTGTATGACGTCCAAAATACCTAAAGAACACAATATCCACATTAATTACAAAAAGCTCACACGCGAGAAGGACTAGGCTAGTATGGCAACGGATACTAAAGTGTAAAGATTATAATTTTTACTTTGATTATTAGGAGAACTCTCATGTAAGACGGGCTCACGACACACATAGTGTCCCCTTACTAAACCGTAGAGAATAGCAAGATATGTTAGTGATTCATATGTTGATCCTTCACTAAAGCGTAAGGGATACAAGTTCTACTTAGATCATAAAATCTCCCGTGTAAGTTAAAGTCTGTAAGTCATATCTCATTCCGTTACTAAAGCGTCAAAAAATAAATTCTACTTAGATCATAAAATATCTCGAGCAAGTTAAGGTTGTGAGTCACACCTTGTTCAGTTACTAAAGGGTAAAGAATAGAAATTCTACCTAGTATAATCTCTCGTGCAAGATAACCTAGTGAGTCATATCTTGTTCGGTTACTTAACGTAAATTATACAAGCTCTACCTCTACTTTAATCATAAAAAGCTCTCATACAAGTTTATGAACATGCTTTGTTTCAACTCTTTCTTTTTCGTTGAGGAGAATCTGACATCAGTTTAATTGACTGGTCATAGATTACAGTAATACTATGGTGTGTCACTTTCCAAGCGTTACAAAATCTCCATGATTGCCAGTTTCTATAAATTGGGTCTCTCCTAGTTCACTACTGTTTCATTGCAACACCACTCCCCCCCCCCCCCCCACCCCACCCCCCCCCCCCCCCCCCCCACACACACACACACAACACATACATAATCACACATGCAGACATGTTACACAATTCTTTGCATCAATGGCGATTTAATAGTAAGAAGCGTGATTTTTCAGATTAACATGTGCATAATTATTTTGCAGGTAGAGGAAAATTGCTGGTAAAGTAGAGAAATTTGTTGACAGAAGAGAGAGAGCACAACCCGGCATCGGCAAAAGGGTCTTTGTTTATGGTGGGAGTGTGCTCTTTCTTCTTCTGTCATCGACTCCGCCGCCCTTTTACCAGATTCAGATCACTGTCAGCCTTCTCTTCTGGTTTTTTCTCAACTTCTTATTTTACAAGGTTGCTGCTGAAATACACCCTTACACTGAAATACACCCTTACACACAAAACTTATTAAGTTTCAATTGAATCATTTATTAATAAAGGTTTATCGATTTTGTTGGTCTGTGTTATGTAGACGGAGATATTGGTAAGATGATATTGATAAACTAAACGATGCTTCCACCCTCGATTTTGATTTGATAACATTTTTATTCTTCACTTTACGGATTTTAATTTAATATATATATATATACCTTAGTTGCTATTTTCGTTTATCACGTAAGTTTCACCATCGAACAAATCACCAAGTATGTTAAAATTGATTAACAAATATATGGAAAATGACTTGATTGAAACAACTTTAAAAATTTTGGGACCATATGAGCTTAAAATAAGTTTGCCAATTTGAAAGTTAGGTGATGTGCATGTAAGGGGTAGTGGCAACGGGCCGGCCCGTAAGCCCATAATCAATTTTGTTCCTTCTTTATTTTATTTTTTTTCTTGAAAGTTTACTTTTAAAAAAATAGAATATAATGGCCCGCTGCCAAGGATTGGCCCTTCTAGCAAGTAAAATCGTCCCGTTACCACTCCTATTTGTACTTTACAAAAGATTTTCGTTGAGAGAAAATAATGCGAGTTAATCAGTTGGGTTGTTATCTTGTTGCACATTCCTCGAGATATCTACAGCCTTAACTTGCAATATTGTCTATTATCATAGAATCCATGTATTTCAAGAAAATCCATTCATCTTTGAAACATAGCAGATTAAACGATTTCAAGACATAGTCAAAATTCACGAGAGGGTATGTTCATAGACTTATTTTTCCGTAGCACAAAAGGGTGATCACGTGATAGCTTAAAATTGTTGGTCACTTTCACTTACAGAACGCACCATCACCAAGAAACCCATTAAAAAGACAGGCGGAACCAGAAGGGGGCAAAAATATTGTATCATTACATGTAAAAAGAAACAATCATCTATAACCTGCTTATTTGGAGAGAGTACATGTCAAAATCTTGATCTGATTTTAAACTGAGATTCAGGCATCACACTGTCTTCACAATCTAAAACAATGTCATCAATACTTAGAGGAAGACTGTTAGAGAAACTAAGAGTCGGCTTCGCCTTCAGCACTATCATAGGCTCTGCTTCATTGTTGAGGATGTGAAGAACTCCCCTCATTGGAGGCCCCTCCCATGCTCTCAGTATTGGTGCAACCCAGCCCCAGGCCTATAAGCAGAAGCGTTTTCATCTCTTTTTCATTGAAATCAACAATCATGTTCTTATCCGCTGCTTCAGTTATCTTTCCTTCGGAATGCAGCTTCCATACCCAATCCACTTAGTTCACCATTTTGTGGCTTTCTGATTCCCTCTCAATCGGCCTTCTCCCACTAGCTAGTACAAGAATAACCATGCCGTAGCTGAAAACATCGGTTTTCTCAGTTGATTTACCATATTGAGGGTATTCAGGAGCAAGATATCCCATGATTCCTGCCGTTAGACTTGAAACTGGACTTTTCCATGATCCATTTTCCTTGCTAATCTGAAATCCCCAGACCGTGCATTGTAATTCGCATCCAGCATTATATTACTAGTCTTTATGCCTCTATGAATCACTTGCTGTTCACATTCTTGATGAAAATAAGTAAGAATAGAGGCCAGTCCAGCAGCAATATTATATCTATATGACCATTGCAGTGGATTCCCATGTTCGGATTCTGCGTAAAGCACCTTATCAAGACTTCCATAAGGCATAAACTCGTAAACAAGAAGCAATTCACTCTTCTCAACACACCAACCAGGGAGTGAACTAAATTTTTGTGACTCAAACAAGCTATAATCAATAATTCAGCAAGGAACTCGGTTTTTCCCTCCTGGGCATGCTTTGATCTTTTGAGAGCAGAAATAGTACCCAAATACGTGAAAAAGGCCTTATAAACAGTTCCGAAAGCTCCTTGCAATGAAACCCTTTTCTGGATGATTTCATCTCTTTGTAGCTGTATTGCCTCGGTCCAGTGACAAGTTCTGATGTCTCTCCATTTCTTGACAGATAATTAACCAAATACCAAAATAACAGCGCAAAACAAGGCAGGAAAGCCGATCCCAAGACCCAATCTGATCCTATGATGATGTCTATTGCCGGAATCTGAAACTAGGATTTGGTTCGCCAACAAAATTCAAATAAAGCCATTGTAGAATGAATTTGACCAATTCAATTCCATGTCATGTTCGTATTACTTGGTTCTTGGAGGAGGCTCCAGGGAAAGGCAGAGAAGGTTACAACACCAAATAGACTCAAAACACTCCACATCAGTCACTTCATTACAAGGAGCATAATCAATTCATCATCCATACAAGATATGACTAATTTGCCCCGATTAACACACAGCGAAAACAAACTATTAAACTAAAACATTCTTCTCCGTCGCTGTTGTAAGTATTATATCCTAGGTCCAATCAATTTTGGACATAAA